GTAGGGGTTTATAGGGCTTAGGGCTCAAAACCGTGGACGCAACTTGTATTTGAAACTTGCGTCTGACGCGGATGATCATGGCCGGCACTTGGTATTACCGCAGTTCATGCGCAAAGCCCAAGATGGTCTCCATAAACCCTAATCCCTAAACCNNCTAAATCCTGAATCCTGAACCCTTAGGTTTACGTTGTAAGGTTGAGGTTTAGGGTTCCTGAAGCCCAAACCCTGAACTGCCTCCGCATTTGGTTCTACTCCAGTTCAGGATGAAAATTTAGGACCGGGTTTCGGATCAGGGTTTGGGGCTTATGAAGGGTTTGTACATGGAGGCTGTCCGATCATGAACGACCGTAAGTAAGCGCTTCTTCGGGGTGATTATAGGACTTTGTGGGGATGACCGTAAGAAGGAGTAGGCGTCGATCAAAAGGGGGTTGTTGTAGAGCTAGTCGGGATGGTTATCATGCGTTCAGAAGTTCTCCTAATTAGTGTAGGGATACATTCGTGGTAGATGAGGTTGAAGCCCTTGAATACAATGTTGGAATTCAATCTCTTATCTCTGTGGCTTGGGGTATAGGATCTATGGTTTGCTTTGACGAAACATGACGCAGAGTTTGGGGATAAGAGCTGGGCAGCCCCATAATCCCCCCCCCCCCCCAAACAAAGTAGGATCGTATGCCAATGGCTAACCCCAACCCTAAACCCTGCAGAGCTCCCCTTCATCTCCACTGCAACGCTGCGCTGAGCAGGCCTAGATGCAGTTGCACGCAACCCAGACCTTGTAAGAGCTTCTAGTTCTGCTGTTTTGAGCCGAGTTGATCCAAACACGCATCTGTTAGAGGTATTCTTACTTGGGGATGGATGTAGGTTTAGGGTTTAGGGTGCTTTGATACCTGTACCCCCGCACATTTCTGCCTTCCCCCTACCCATGGCACTCGCTGAAATTTTCGCGCCTGTGCGCCGACTGGAACCCATTGCTGCAGCACCTCCTGGTAAAACAATTTTTGTTTGTGGGTTGTGGATCAGCAATGAATGTTTTAGTTTTTGATCTTGGACATGTACTTTTACAAGGGCGTAGTGCTGGAGATCCACTAATGATGAAACAGCTGTCCGTTGTAGCATTCCCCTGGTGACCAGAGTGTCTGCTAATCACAATGTCAAACGTAGCTGATTTTGGGGCGGGGTGGCTACGTCACCATTCTTCACAATAGACATTTCTTATTGGCACATGTTCCACGTGGTGAGGTACACGCTGCCATGGAAAGACAACACTGTGATCACTTGGTCACAACACTTAGGACCGTCATTGGTACCTGGCAACCTTCAGGCAGAGTCGGACGACGCAGCATCAGTGACAATGATAATGTTCGTTGTCGTGACCTAGTACTTAGCGCCAGTAGTAAGTGGTGCAATGACGGTGACAATGTGAGCACACATCATCAGCGAATCGGCAACTGGCCATGTTTAAGCACCCTGAACCCTTCATGTCATCCCCGTGGCTGTGCAGACCCTGAGCCGCTGCATGCAGTAGCACGAAAAGTTGTACCTGTGCATAGGAACCTCTCAACCATAAACCTGTCTTCACTATTCCCATAATTTGAATTCACTCCCACCACGGCTTTTGTCCTTGTGGAGGAAAGTGACTTTACCACGGACGGTAGGCCGAGCGATGACCTGCAGGAAAAGCAGTGCAAGCCCAGCAACGCCATTTCGTTGACGCTGAACTGTTGGCTTGTCAATAGTTGGGAGGTTCTCAAACTTGGCTGGCCGTAAGGGACCCTAGAAATAGGTACTGCAGAAATTATAAAATGATACGGACTGTAACGGGATTGCTTTGAGAAACTTCCATGTTTCTGCACGCACGTCAACATACTAGTACATTTGTGCCACTAGGGCGGTACCTCGATGCCTTAAACGTTACCCCCACCCTCGATGCCAACTGTCTACTACAATGTATATGTATATATATATGGGGGGGTTCCCAACATTCCTAAGCCAACATTTCGCGCGTCGTGGGTTTACCGGAGAGAGCGAGAAAAGCGCAAAAAACGAGAAAAACAAAAACAAAAAAAACAACAAGAAAAGCGCAAAAAACAAAAATCGAGAAATGCGAGAAAAGCGAACGTTTTTCGCATGTTTCGCATTTTTCGCGTTTTTCGCGTTTTTCGGATTTTT